TATATATATATTGAAATTAAGAAAGTTATTTTGAATTATAATATTTCACAATATTACTGTTTTACTATATCAAAAAAATTAAAAAGAACATTAAATCTTACTGACCCAAACCTTTGAATGGTATGGTGTATGTTATGTAGCTTAAACCAAAAACAAGTGGTTAATAGCCTATAGATGCAAGCAGCGATTACCGGGGTTCAAGCGCTTTAAGACATTTAAGCACGTAAGGAAAAAGACATATTGTATTATTTAACAAGCCTGAAACCAGCTAAATGAATGATTTAAAAGAGCATGTTTGGCGATTCCAGGTAATTTACCTGGTAATTTACCTAGTACGATATTTATAAACATTTATGGCTGTTATAGCACCATCTATAGTCCGATCTCCATGAAACTTTGCATGCTTGTTTAGAATCATGTGTCGCATATGCTCACCTAGTTTCGTGAAGTTTCGAGTTTTCGTTTAGGATTTGTAGGCTTTTGGGTATATTTGGCCACACCCATTTTCTAAATGACCCTGTTATAGTTATCGAAAGGGGAAAGGTCAACATTTTTTGACAATTATTGACCTAGAGAGTCCAGAGAATTGTACTGCAGTGTTTTTTTAACCTAGGACTAATTCGCAAAAGTAGTTTTTTTTTTTTTTTTACATAGGCTATTCTCAATTATTTAACAAACAATTTGATTGACAGTAGTGGTTCTAAGGCAAAGTTGTTCAAAATGAGGTGGTCTATCATATGATACGAATATTGTGTGTATGTGTGAAAAGCCGTGCAATATACAATCGTTTACGCCCTTGTAAAATGCGATATCGCCCCCCAGTGGCTGATTTCTTTCAAACTTCTCACAGACCTTTAGGTCCATGAGTCAAACAGGCCCACTGAGGTTCGTTCTGATCGACCTCCGTTAACCTTGCCTAATAGGTGCTCATACTTCATTGGCCAAGTTTGAGATACACAAATGTTCTTACAGACACTTGTGGCACTTTGGACAAAGACTTGGCATACCAATTTTCATATTGATTGGACAAATGGTTTCGTAGTTATAGCCATTTTTATGTTTTTTCCCCTCTTATAGTACCACCAAGTGGCCAAGCTCCACAATTTTTTTTTCATGTGATCTCAGATTGAGCTCTTACATAAGTATTCTGAGTTTGGCGAAGATATCTCATTCCGTTCAATAGTTATAGCCGTTTTAGTAAAATTGGCCCAGCCCCTTTCAAACGTTTTGACGTCCCTTTGTGACAGTGAGTTGAAAATTAAACTTTTTTTTTTTGATAATTATTGATATTCACTCTCCAGAGAATGTTTCTGCATTGGTTCTGATCGGGCGAAAAACCTAGGACTAGTTCGCAAAAGTAGGTTTTTCAAAAATCCAAAATACCCGAAAATTTCGCCCAGGTGATAATTGAATTCGAGGCATTCATTTTGTCCCGTGTGAGCTAATGGTACATTCACACGGGGCGTCGGTATCAACGCCTCTCATTTACTTTGAATGGAGTGACGTCAAGCATTGCCGAAATGAATTGTGGGTCCGTGGCTTCACGTTGGGTCCGTTGCTCGCAGCAGAAGTTGAAAACTTTTCAACTTTTCAACTTTTATTCGCCTTATGCAAATACCCTGGTGCAGATGCTAGCCAATAGCGTTCATGCAACACCAGACAACTAATGTGATTGGCTGTTGTCACTGACGTTCATGTCAGCACCAAGCTTCAGAAACGCCCTCCATCAAGCGTTGATGCAGACGCCCCGTGTGAATGGGACGTAAGGATTCCAACGACATAAGACCAGCCTGCGACTACCTCGACTAACGTTTTAGGAGTTATGAGCAATTTCGTACTTCACTGTAGCACCCCTGTCAGGCCGATTGTGGCGAGCCTTGGTGAGTCTCTATGACTTACAGTTTCGTGTGCCCAATCAGTTTTATGTGGAGATTGCTGATCCTTGGCCATTCTAACAATTACAATAGGGTTTCAGAGCTACGCGCTTGAACCCCTAAATACTGACACTACTTGTAATGTAATTGACTTGTTTTAAAAGTGGAGCAGTCAGGAGCAGAAGACGCACCATGAGTAGAGGAAGGACACATAGAAAGGCAGAGATACGGCCAGTGTGAGCCAGCGCCAGTCTCTGATGCAGTAAGCAAGGGCTGCCAGAATCAGCTGGCCGGTGGTGTAGCAGTAGCCCGTTCCTGTGCCCACCACCGTCCGCACACGTGTTGGGATCCATTCCACAACTGAGGAGAAGCAATAATGACACTTCATGCCACAAGATGTCGCCAAATACAATGTCAGTCAAATGCAATGTTTCTTTTTCTCCACACATGCAATAGGTGCCAACCTTTTATTTACAGATGTGTTATTCACTGTACTCACTTAGAGAGAAGGAGTTGAGCACCAGACCAGACAGGGCCATGCCGCAGCAAACGCGGAAAATGCAAAACATGGTGAAGGAGGTGGAGAAGGCAGCACATGTTCCTCCAACTGCCATCATCAGGTTAGATAGAGATCAGCAATAAAACACGCCGACCAAACCTGCATCAGAAAATGGAAATTTAGTTAATGTGCTACTGCATTTCTGAGTCGGAAGATATTATATAATAGAGTTTATGATTATAATGTTGTTGTTGCTGTCGTATTTAATAGTAAAACTTGTCACAACCTGTCAGAAAGTCCCCCAAAAATTACTGCTCCCACAAGGACACCTCCCATATAGGTAGTTTGACTCATTTGCTTTAGGGCACGCTGATCACAAACCAAATCCCACTAAAAGAGAATAGACATTCAATTAAAAACACACAGGATAAACATTATTACTTTCTTTTGTTTGCATATAGCATTCTGGACAGGTAAAGGTCATACACACTCTTAAAACAAAAAAAAAATATTCATTGGCATTCATGGTTCCATGAAGAACTTTTAACATCCATAGAACCTTTTCATTGGACAAAAATTCTTTATAGTGGAAAAAGGTTTATTCAAATGTTCTTCACACCAAGAAAAAATGTTCACTGAAAGGTTATTTTGGGAACAAAAAACTGTTCTTCTGTTGCATCACTGAAAAAAAAACCCTTTTGGAACCTTTATTTTTAAAAGTGCATTGCATAAAACGTTCTTTGCAGGATGTAAAGATTCTTTAGATTATTAAAATGTTCCTGCTGAAAAAAAGAAAGCGAAAACCAGCCTATGGTTTTAGCTGGTTTAAGCTGGTCAAGCTGGTCTCCCAACTTGACTAAGCAGGTGTTCAGCTGGTTTTAGCTGGTTGGTCAGCCAGGCTGACCAGTTGGTCTCCCAGTCTAACTAGGTAAAGAAGTTGTCAAAAACCTTCTAAAACCAGCCTGCTAAACCAGCTATGACCAAACTGGAAGACCAGCCAGCCAGCTTAGGCTGGTTTGAGCTGGTTTCTTCAGCATGGATGCAAAAAAATATATATTTTATGACCTGATCACTGAAAGTTTCTTTGTGGAACCCAAAATGGTTCGTCTATAGCATTGCTGCAAAAACTCCCTTTGGGAACCTTTATTTCTAAGAGTGCTGTGGCCCCAATAGTATTTTCACTCAGAAGTTGCATCTAAAAATATATGATTTTTTAATTAAATTATTGCACTAATGATGCTAGACCTTTTCATAGACATTTACCATTTACCTCAGAAATGATAGTTGAGCTCATTTCTGTCGTGTTGTAGTACCATCCATCCTCACAACTCTGTGTCTCTATTTCTTCCACACCCTCTTCCCATAGGCTCTCTGAACTATTGCTGCTCAGAAGCTGCCACTGAGGATGTACATAGCGTCTGCAGCGTTCCGGTTTGCCGTTTTGGCCCAGGGGCACAGTGGCCTGTAGCACGTCCCCAGCACCCATGGAGGACATTGAGAGGTTGGCGTGGGGGGCGCAGTGGTGTGGCGGCACAGCGGCCACAAAATTCTGCAGCAGGTTATGGCTGGCCATCATTAGGATGGGCATGCTCAACAGGGTGACATGCAGGACCTGGAAGCGTCCTGTGCTGCCAACCTGCTCCAGCAGGTCAGAAAAGGCCATAGCTTAGATGCAAACAACAACAGATAATATCACAGGTATCACAATTCATGTGATGAAAAGAGTTTATAACCCAATGTTCTGCCTTGAGGAGCAAGCCGGCTGTAAAATTTATCTGTGGGAACATAAAGATAAGGTATGTTAGTCAAAAACCCTTATAAAAAAATAAATTATAGACATTTAAATAGGTCATGCTATGCATTTATCAAAATAGAATTACATTGCAATCACAAAACAATTACATTCCAACATAACATTTAATGCAATGATTTAGCAGGTTTTTATCCAAATGATTAAAAGCACAAGTCTATTGGATATTATACAGATGCAAATATATTATGCTTTGGAATCACTGTAAAAAAAAAAAAAAAAATTTGAGATTGTAAATAAAGATTATTAGAGTATGTTTTCAAAGAAAGCACTATTTCAGTCTTTCTACTTCAAAATTGTATGTGTAATTCAATGAATTACTTGCTGTTTATTTGTAATTAATTAGTAAATACTAGCTATTTCTGAGTGAAAATTATTTATGCATCAAATGTTTAGTAATAATAATAATTAATAATAATTTATGCATTTAGCAGACGCTTTTATCCAAAGCGACTTAAAGTGCATTCAGGCTATACATATTTTACCACTATGTATATTTTACCACTAAATTAATATTTAGTGTCTATGCAGTATATATTACCTTAAATGCAATAAAAATCAAATAAAAATAAGATTTAAAAAAAGAAATTAAATAAAAAAGATTCACATATGAGCATAAAAAAAGTGCATACGCACCTATTGTGGCTCGAGCGATGTCCTGAATTTTCTCTCTAAATCAAATGGAACTAGAAAGCGATTCTCACAAGGAGAAGTAAATAGAGAAACTTTTATGCGTTGTTGTATAATCAGCTGTGAAATTCCTCAGGCTTTCGGGTGGAAATGCACCTCGGGTCTGCACTGGATTAGAAGGTCCAGGTTTAAACTGTTTGTGGCACGAACAGACTTTTCCATGAAGCCCAGGAAAAGATGCCTCAGCTTGACCGAAGTTGTTGTGCTCCCTCTGGAATCCCTTGGTTAACCTCTGTGCTCGTACCTGCTGTGTCCTGAAGCTGGTCCAGCGTCCGGGCCGGTGGGGTGTTACTGTGAGGAACAGAGCTCAACTCAGGGTAGATTAGTGTGCCGGAGTTTATGTCTCATTATGGATGTGAAGGGGGGAGGGGATTATGGGTACATTAATGATTTTAAGGCATAATTACGGTCTCTTTGTTTAGCTGTTGAGTGGGACAAAGGCAGACATTTTTTTGTTTTACTTGAGCAATTATGAATGGGACAGAACACATAACACAAAGCAGAAAAGTAACCAAAGATGTTTAGCCCTATAGACCTGTATGTCTTCTGACTCTCAGACTTCAACCTTTTAACTCATAAACACAGACACACACCTATAGGTTAAACATGTTCATTCTACTGTTAGGCCATAAACCTGACTGACTTGTATAAGTCATACATCTAAAAAACTCACATCAATTATATTAGTTTTATTGTTAACTTTTTTAACCCCTTGTGATGAACCTTCTTTCTAAAATATACATATAGGCAACTATATATTTTAATGTATACAGACCCATTTTGATAAGACGTCATCTATGCAAAATAAAATAATTAGCTTTTATTTGTCATCATACTAAAGCTAAATCATACTAAATAACTTTTTGAAATATTATGTGGAAAATGTTTACTTGTTTAAATGTAAATGTTATTTAGTTTTTGTATTTATATTTACTTTTATATCATTAATTATGTAATTGTAAAATTGTTTATTATTTTATACGCTGCTGTTCAAAGGTTTGGGGTCAGTTTTTTTTTTTTTTATGAATACTTTTATTCAGCAAGGGTGCATTAAATTAATCAAAAATGACAGTTAAGACATTTATAATGTTACAAATGATTTCTTTTTCAAATAAATGCTGTTCTTATGAACTTTCTATTCATCAAATAATATATCACAGTTCCCATAAAAATATTAAGCAGCACAGCTTTAGTATTGATAATTATAAGAAAAATTACTTGAATTTCAAATCAACCTATTACAATGATTTTTGAAGGATCATGTGATTCTTACAATTTAATATATATTAAAATAGAAAACAGTCATTTTTAATTGCAAAAATATTTCACCATATTACAATTATTACTGTATTTTTATCAAATAAATGCAGACTTGGTGAGCATAAGAGACCTTCAAAACCATGAAAAACTCTTACTGACCCCAAACTTTTAAACAGTAATAACAGTAATGTTTAATAATTATTAGAAGTAACTATTGAACAAATATAATTATAGACATTTCTTATATTTAATTTAAATATATATTTTTTTTTTTTTAATGTTTTTATAATATATATATATATATATATATATATTATAGATGTCTCCTCTCTAAACTGCTTCTCAAGCGCGTGCTCTCATCACCGCTGCTGCTGCGTGAATGTGACGCATCACAACACCACGGAGACCCGAGGAAAAACTGGGATTAAAGTCCAAAACTGGGCTTGAAATAACCTAACAAATCAACCGGGGCTAAAGCGGTTCCATTATCGACAAATTAAATTCACACAATCTCACTAATTCTTAAGCAGACCTTAATGTCGAATGTCGATCATGGATCAAATCAATCCACCATCGCAAACAGCGAATATATCTGTGCTGGGTATATTTTTCATCTGTAAATGTTAGAAAGTCATGCAAACATATACATTTTGCTGTCAGGAGTGGGCGAGGCATGCAAGAGCAACGAGCGCAGTTGTGCAATCGAATAGAAGCGCAATAATTCTGAGTAAAATATACATTTTGCGAAAAAATGTGTTTTTGGACATTGTGTCTTTTGTAGAATTTTAAACCTACATATAAAGTGTGTTTTTTATGATAGCAGTAACTGTAAGTGGACTATTGTAATAGGTAAATCAAATGTAGCTAGTAGGCTACATTTGCTTTATGGAACCAAATCATTTGACAATGAGTCAGACTAACTGAAATAAGCCTGGCTTATTTGGTTAACTTGTTTTATGAAACAGGCCTCGAGGCATTAAAAGTGATCATATTTTCTCCATTGCATCGAATCGCATTGTGTTGAATCGAATCGGAATCGGATCGGATTATTAGCATTGCACTTTTAATAATAAATATTGCTTTAAAGCAGCATAAAATAATGTTGTAACTAGTGAGAAAGCTAAAGGTGGCAAGAGAGAAAAATCTTGTACATATGTACATTGAAAGTTTTTTTTTTTTTAAATACCCCCTAGTCCCATACCATTGCGGCCACTGGGGCGCCCATTTTAAAAAACCCTTATGTGAAAGAATGCATGTGAAAGAATGTGAGTGGCACCAAACAGTCTTGATGTAAATGAATGCTAAAACAATCCATATACTGTTCAAAAAAGAAAAAAAAAATTGTGGTTGCATAGATTGAGTTTCTAACTCTGTGATCCTGTATCATCACAGTTTTTGCTGAATAAGGCTGACATAGAAGTTACCAGTTGAACGTTGATTGAGTTTGTTGAAGTTATACACTGTTAATGTGATGAACTCCACCTGTGCTAACTTGAGGAACTGACATTACACAATCATTCATAGGCACATACATTTGACCCAGAATGATGTTAAAGTGAAGCAATAGACGTCTGTGATAATCCAGTGCCTCCCGTTCTGTTGTGTGAACGGAAAGTCAGGACCCATTTATCTCCAAATCCCTCCAGTAAAGAGCAACACCAGCTGCCAGAGCAAATAACTGAGCATAGACCATCTCGTGAAACACATTGTAACAGATTGAGCCAGCTTCTTGCGTCCCCTGCCAGTTCGTGAGATGACCTCAAAGTTGAAGCTGCAAGGGGGGATTTAGCATTCCTCCCCAATTTGAGGCAGAGTAACCAAGCTCTAGACATTGCTAGTTAGCCATTATAAAAACTGCATGTCATGTATATTGGTTATTGGCAGCGTATAGCACAACTGACGCCTGATTTAAAACATTGTTTGTGTAGAGCGTGTGAGACATTGCTCACACATGGGTAAATACTGAAGTACTCAAGTGTCAAGCATGAATGGGTCAACAAGTGTGTGTTTACATAACACTTCTTCTTAGCAAACTGGTGAGTAATGAGAGAACAAAGTGGTTTATTTGTAGTTTATTACATAATTTTGTTGTTTAACAAAAACAATTGGAAAAAGGCCTGGTATAACTGATTTTTAATAACAGCTGGATGAGACTTTTAATTGCATGATTTTTGTGACTTTTACACATTACACAGTCCAAAAACGTGTTAAAAGTACAAGCAGCAACCACAAATTCACACATATGTATGAGCAATGCTTACTGTCACGGTTTAAAAGCAACCGTGACCCCCTACACCAACCGTTTTGCACACATTACTGACAATCTTGTCATTTTAAGCATGTTCCTAATCCTTTAAGAACTAGCAGCCAAATGCAATAGTGTTTGAGACTGGATTTAATTAGATTTTTTTTTCCAAAATATGCAGTGCTTGAATATGGAGGACCAAACCTGCTGAAATTAAAAATAAATAAATATATAGATAAATAAATAAATGTAATAACAGGAAAATATATAAAGAAATAAATGACTTGATAAAAACAAATCTAGTTAATTTGTAATAAAAATTTAACCCTGAATGTATTTTTTATTCTTTTTTTCCTTTTATGTATTTATTTTTACATTTATTTTTATTCTTTTTAACCTTTATTTCCTTATTCACTTATTTATTTTTATATTTAATTTATTTATTGATGTATTTATTCTTTTGGGAGTCTTTTCTCTGTGATTACAAAATGAACACAAGCCTTAGAAACCTCCACCGAGTGTGTCTAGAGGCGTAATCAACCTAGAAACTCGTCGACGATGTTGATGGTACCGGGCTTAATGACGAAACTTTGAGGATAAATAGCCGAATTCAGTCGCTATAAAACAATTCGACATAATAATGTGAATCTGTGAAAATATCTTGGAACCATCCAGTTGATCCAACAAGCTCCGCAAGAACCACCTCCCTCATTTCCATGTTGCACACGGAAAAGTAAAAAGAAATAAATGAATAAATAAACCTTGAAATAAATACATGTGGGAATAAATAAATATAAAAAATAAACACATGAATAAAAATAAATAATATTAAATATATAAATACAAAAATTAATGAAATAAGTAAATAAATGTAAAAATAAATTTAGAAAATAATTCATATAGGAAAAAGGTAATAAAAAATACATTCAGGATTGAATTTTATTACAAATGAAATATATTCGTTTGTTTCCTGTTATTACATTTATTTATCTATCTATCTATCTATCTATCTATATACTGTATATATATTTATTTTTAATTTCTGCAGGTTTAGTCCTCTATACTTTCAGAAAGGGGAAAAACACTGCATTGAATGTCAAACCCCAAATATAACATCAAGAACCTTCTGGGATTTGATGTTTCCTCATCTTATTCTGAATATGCGATTCAGAGCGTTTCCCAAAAGCATCGTAAGCCTATGTAAATCCTAGACCAATTGTTTCCACAATCTACTTAGGCTTATGATGCTTTTGGGAAACGCAGCCCTGGTTTTTGCTGAATAATGCTGATATAGATGTTACCCGTTGAACATTGAGTTTGTTGGAGTTATTGATTGTATGTGAAGTGAATGAGGCATAACGTTTAAGATTGAAAATTGACAGATTGCGTTCGGGTTGCCATAGCTGGATTCTTGAAGAGGAAGCATCTAGTGTTGCTCGATCATACAGGTTGCTCTTGGTTCGAGATGGGCAGGTGGAGGTTTATTTCGGGTCATCAGGTGCAGCAAGCTTCTCCAGAGTGGGCTCTACACCCCAGATCTCACGGGCGTACTGGGAGATGGTGCGGTCGCTGGAGAACTTGCCTGAACCGGCGATGTTGAGGATCACCTTCTTGGTCCATTCCTTAGGTTTCTGTCAATGGATAGAGAATTATAAATGATAATTTTCAAAGTTCTTAATTTGTATTTTTTTGGCAATGTAACAAAAACTGTTTACTCACCTTATACAAAGCACTGACTTTCTCTTGGCATTTGATGTAGTCTTCATAGTCAGCAAACACCTTGAACCTGTGCAGCAAAGAAACACATTTGATTCATACACTGTACAAATGTGATGAAACTATTTTCTATAGTAGCATATTATTTATATTAATTTATTTAAAAGACCCAGATATAAGGTGTTTTGTTTTTTGTTTTTAATTTAGAGTAAATGGACTGAATACATTAAACCCATACAATCAGACTTTTATTGAACAGTAAATGGTCTGTAAGTTCCTTTAAGAATTTTAAGTTATAATTAGCTCCCGATGTTATATGTGACCTGGAGCACAAAAGCAGTCTTAAGTCACTGGGGTATATTTGTAGCAATCGCCAAAAAGTCAAAATTATCGATTTTTCTTTTATGCCAAAAATCATTAGGATATTAAGTAAAGATCGTGTTCCATGAAGATATTTAGTAAATTTCCTACTGTAAATATATCAAAACTTAATTTTTGATTAGTAATATGCATTGCTAAGAACTTCATTTGGACAACTTTAAAGGCGATTTTCTCAATATTTAGATTTTTTTGTACCCTCAGATTCCAGATTTTCAAATAGTTGTATCTCGGCTAAATATTGTCCTATCCTAAAAAACATACATCAATGGAAAGCTTATTTATTCAGCTTTCAGACGATTTATAAATCTCAATTTCGAAAAATTGACCCTTATGACTGGTTTTGTGCTCCAGGGTCACATATTATATTATATAGTGGTTGTTAAACTACGAAGTATTTGAAAAATTTAAATATTTGGTTTACAGGGTTATTGCCATACATATCTGGTAACAATTTTGTAAGCATATTAATGTTATTGTAGTACTGTAAAAAAAAAAAATTCTTATTGTGGTCATTGTATGTGTTTCCTTGTACAACGGAAAACAAAATTGTGTCTATTACTGTCTGTCTTTGTGTGTGGCAATGTGTTTCTTGTTCCTGTTTCTCTACCTATCGTGGTGCATCAGCATGTTGACGATATCCTTGAAGAGGTCTGGCTGTTTTGGGCTGAAGAAGCCTCCTGCGATCTGGTCAATGGCCTGCTTCAGCTCTGGAATACGATTGTAGAACTCTGATGCATTGTATCTGCCAGATGGAAGGAGGTCATGTCATATACAGTACATATATTGCATGAGTGCTTATTATATCTCTACATTCTACCGAAAAGTACAATAATTAAAGTCAGTATCAGTTTTATTAGTATTAAAATTCATATTATTCCCAACCCTTTAGCATCCATAGCTTCGACATCCTCCACTCTCATGCCGAAGATGAAGATGTTGCCTTCTCCTGCTTCCTCTGCCATCTCCACATTGGCTCCGTCCATGGTGCCGATGGTCAGCGCTCCATTCAGCATGAACTTCATGTTGCCCGTTCCAGAAGCTTCTGTGCCAGCTGTGGAGATCTGCTCGGACAGGTCAGCCGCAGGGATCGCTGATAGAAAGAAAAAACATTTAAAGGGATCATCTTTATGATCACATGACTCACACTTTCAGGTGAAAATAATGTGGAAAAAGTGGAATTATTTAAAGCAGTTTTAATGTTTTGAAGCGGGAAACTGAACATGGATGGTAGTGATGTCACTATACAGAGAAAATTGTGCTAATGAATATTAATTTTATAATTAATATGCATTAACCACAGAGGCTACAATGCTACCTGGCAGCATGTTTTTAAACAGCGCGTTATTTCATTTTTTTGTATTAATTAAATGTAATATCAATTAGTTTGGAGATTGTGTCTGTAGTAGATAGGGTTATTACAGTTAATAACTAAAACATTTTCATTACTTGAAATAAAATAAACTTTAACTTAAGATATAAAACTTACTTTGTTTTCAGCTAGTTGCCAACATTTCTCATTTTCATTTAGTTTTAAGTGACATACTAAAATAACAAAAACTTTAAAAAAAAAAACATTATAAAAATGACAATTAACAGTAAAAAATACTAAAACTTTAAATTAAATTAAAATTAAAATAAAAACAGAAATATATATATATA